TGGCAGTTGACTACATTTTTTTGTTAGGTTGATGAAACTCTAAATATTGGATGAAATTTTTACAAAATCAATTTAATTTTCCTGATATCAAATATCTTTGGTGTAGTTTCCAATGAAAGACGGTTTTAGAGATATTAATAAAACGTTTATATAGTTGGCGCTAGTTTTGAAGATATTTTGAGAGCAGCTTGACATCAGAAATCGATACGCTTTTTACTACAACCCATGTAAATAAATCGAGAAAAACGGGATTTTAATCGATCTTTTTGTGATCAAAAATCGATTAAAATGAGACGATTTTAATCAAATTTTAATCAGATTCTTGATTTTTAATCAATTTTAATCGATTTTAAACAGATTTCTTGACTTTAAATCGATTATTTTTTATTTTAATCAGTTTTAATCGATTATAACTGGTTATTGTTGTTTTAATGGATTTTAGTTGATTATTTAATTTTTAATCCTTCTTAATCGCGATAACCAAAGAATATGTAAGCACAGATCGTTGTTATCTCGCGAACTCAGGCATGTCTGTTCGAGGTTGGTTTGGCGTTGTACCTACTATTTGTCGACGTGAGGAGTCCGAAAAACCAATAAAATGCTATGATTTCTCGGCTAAAACTCGAGAAAAACGCATTTTTTCGTTACTATTATTAAAATTAATTAAAAATCAAGAAATTTGATTAAAATCGTCTCATTTTAATCACGAAAAAATCGATTAAAATTTGATTTTTTCCGTGTTTTTTTTTCATGGGAATCATAAGACAATAGATTGATTTTTTGTGGGAGTTTGATCCTTTCTTTTTGGATTTTATCAAGCTCAAAATATCAACGACTAAATGTAGTCGACTCGATGACCAATGACACTTTGAGTAGACATTAAAATATATGTTCATAGCTATGATTTTCTTATTTTTTTTTCTTTTCTTTGAAATATTTTGATTGGACTTTATGTTTGCCGTAGAAATAGGACAGTCTTATGTACTATTTGATAATGCTATCTGTATTGGTTATCCCTTTCTTCACATTTTCGAGACAAACCAAAGCGGGGTGATTTCCAAACAAAATTTCGTGTATGTGAAATTTACAGGGCACGGAGATATCGCCCTGCCCTGCCCTATGGACACCTCTGGTGTGAATGGATAGGAGTCTGACCTGAATTCACACCTACACTCACCCACACCTTCACTTACATACATGTCATTGTCGATTCACTTCATGTAAGGTGAATCGATAAATTTTTTCTTTCTTGTTGCTTTCATGATACATATCTGTAAAAGCATTATCGGAATTGGAGTAAAAATAGATGAGAAACTTTAATTTTACTATCAAAGCTGAAGTTTATTACAATTATACATTTGCTACAAACAGGAACCAGTCGATAAGGTTTTGAAAATTTGAAAATAGAAAGTTCAAGAACAAAGTTTACTCTAAATTGTTTCTGAAAATGTTTTTATATTCTAAAATGACGGATGTGTAAAACTAAAAATGTGAAAATGAAAAAAGGTCTGTTAATTCACCATACATGTCTCTATTGTCTTTTTTGTTTTGCATTTTAGAAGCGCATAAATATTGTATTTCTCCTGTTAACGAAATGTATCCTGAATTTCTGAGACGGTGAAAAATGCCTCTGCTAGTAATGAACGATTCATTGTCATGAGGTTGAACTATGTTTCATTTTCTATTTACTTAAGCAAATGAATTCTCACGTAAAAAAAAAGACTTGAGAAACCAATTTGTAAATATTGTTTCTCTATTTTTGAGGCTATTACTCGGAGTTTATTGCATCCTGATGGACACAGCATATTCTAATATGTACTATTTCTTGTTTAAAAAAACGACTACCTATCGAGTCAGTTTTCTAGTATTTTATATTTTTCTTTTTTCTTAAATAACTTACAATTACTTGATTTGATTTTTGCTAATTTTAGAATATTAAATAAGTCAGTTACACTTAATATTCTCAGTTTATTGAGGCCCTTGGTTTTGATTTGAATTCTTTCGGATTATTTTTGGAATATACATAGTTAAAAAAAAATTAGTCAGAAGATTTATTTTCGTTACGTATCTGCAGTTGAAACATCAACGTTTCATTTCATTGTTATATCATTATTTAGTTTCTTTTTCGATAATGTAAAGATTACTATTATTAATGTTCTAAATACTTTAACTGATGTATAACTGATGAATTCTAGAATGAGACCATTTCTATATGAAGAACAGCTATGAAAGAAAATATTTTCAGTAAAATTATTTTCTATTCTTATTAGTACCGCTTTATTTGAAATTTAATGTGACGCTCTTTTATTTGTAAAGAACAGCTACTCGTTCTCGATACTTTTCGATGATACAAATAACCACAATCTCTTCTTTTTCTTACTTATACTCATTCATCATCTCCAACAATTCCATCACAACTTTCATTAATTGTTAAAAATGTTAGTCTTGCAATTAATCTTCGTAGTTATATAGATTAGTTGAAATATTAACTGTACTGCAAAATATTTGGTTTCAGAATAACAATGTTGAATTCAGACGATCAGCTTAATAAGAACAAACTTATTTTGCTTATAATAATGATCAAGATATGATCATTATACAATTATTAAAGATCTTTCTGGTCTCAAAATCAATTGAAAGAGGAGAAAAACAAAATAAATAGTATATAGATAATATGATTAACGAAAAAGTAATGATTATAACATTAGAATTTGTTTCTCAAACATATCGTGAATTAGGTAATAAATTAATAAAATAATTACTGTTGAAAACTATCTATTATTTATTCTGTTGATCTAATGATAACAAAAACACGATTTCAAGAGAGGAAAATAATTATAGAAGTCTTTAGAATGCACTATTATTTTGTCAATAATTAATTGTTTCACCTGAGCACAATTGCGTTGTGTTGCATCTCTTGTAAAGTTTTTTGTTACAAATCTTAATTTATTATAACCGACCACTAATTTGGTTAAATGTGGTAAATGCGTTTTTGTCTCATTGAGAAACTGCTCGACATAATCAATACGACTCCATCGTAGACAAAGCGAAATAAGATTTGGATATTCAACAATTGAATATAATTCATTATTGTTAGAGACCAAATTGTCTCTCATTTGTGACTCGGATTCGAAATTAATAACACGTAATTTTTTAAGCACAGGAAAAAAGCATGCGATTCGGATAAAAAATTCATGTTTGAACGGCATTTTATCGTATACCGCCAACTCTCTAACACGACTGAAGTCTATTGGTGGAAATGTATTGCCAATATCTCCGAGATAATCAAATGCGAACGGTAGTGAAAAAACATGACATATGACACTATTAATGCTGTCGTTTAGTATACAGCATACTTGTTGATATCCTATGTTGATAAAAGTTCGTTGAATATCTTCATTCGATAAATAATGAGTTAAATGACGTAGTTCAACTTCAACACTGATATGAAAAGTAAATTTACGAAGACATGGCATATGTACAAGAATTTTATCATTAATTTGAGTACCATCGATAAATGTAGTTCGTTCGTCGTTAATAATATCCAAAGTTAATTCTTCAAGTTTTCTCATACGACGAAGAAGAGGCAAAACTCGAGTATCATATTCATTAGTTGAACAACGACATGTTAATGAGAAACATTTCATATTAGGTAGATCATCCTAAAAAACAAATCAATATTTCTAAGTATATTATTATTAATTATAGAGATAAAAAATGATTTTTGAAACTCTGCATATACAGAAAATCATCGACTATTGATCAGATAGATAACTCAAATATTTTAAATTGGAAAAAAAATACCATTTAATAATACATAAACTCACTATATTGTAAATAATTGACAAATCATCTTCCGGACAATCAATGTTAACAATAAATGTAGTCAATTGTTTGAGACGACCATCAAGTAAAGCAAGACAATCTTTAAACCCACAAACATCAACACATAATTTGTTAAGATTTAATGACAACCACGTAGTCGAAGCTAAATTATCAATAGATAAAAGTTGAACACATCCAATTACAGAGAAGTGTTTTAGATTTTCAAAAAGTTTCAGTGTATATTCATACACATATTTTGTGTTAGGATTCATTAGTAGCATGTCAGTATCTCTGCTATATACAAGAATAAGATCGGTAATTTGTTCTTGAAAAATATGACGAAATGGTGATTTATCTAAATAAAGAATAATTAGATATTGTGTACTGTATATAACGTTTCCATTTATATCTATTCTCACATTTCCATTGAAGTTTATTACCTGTAAAATAATGTGAAACAATATGATCGTTAACATTGTAGAGTTTAAGTTGAGTTAGATTAGGATAATCAGTAGCAAGAAGAATACGTTCCATAGATTCTGATTCAAGAATAAGTGATTTAACATTATAATTAATTTTTGGAAGTATACTAATGCAAAATCGATCAAGTATTGAATCAGCAATCGACAAAACATCATCAGTTATCATTGTTAATACAAAATTGAGAGTATTAGTGAATGTTTTTTCTTGTACTATCATATCAAGCCGTTGATTATCAACATCCAATAATGAATAGAGAACATCCATATTGTTAAGTTTCTGTAAAATAATGAGTAATATTTCATTAGGTAGATCAAGAAGAGTAACGTTTGACTGATCCATACTGACTGTAATAAACGGTCTGTTTACGGTGCATATATACATATATATCTAACCTTTTTTTTTCCTATCTATTTTCATCATCGAACAAAACAATGAATGGATGACCTCGTCAACAAAATTCTATAGCGTCGATGAATAGTCCAAAAATTCACTGATAAATATTTTTTCATTGACAAAGTATTTAGAAAACTAAAGTAGCCAAATATTTTGTTTCCTAACAATTATTCTGTTATTTTTATACTTGAATAATGATTGTTCTTTTATTTAACAGAAAGTATTTACCATAAAAGAAAAAAAAACTATAACAGAAGAAAGGTTTACAAAAGAAAGAATTTTTCATACTATGACTGCCATTATCGAACATTATTTTCTTTGTTTTTAAGACGATCTTTTTTTAAAACGTAATATTTAAAAGAATTTAGTTAATCATATTTTTTTACCTTTTCGTTCTAATAACTTCTGTAATCCTTTTTTTTCAACAGCTAATTCGGCCTTAAGACCTGATACAGGTTTTCCTTTTGATTCTGCTTCTTTTATTTTACTTTTGAGACCTTCAATACTTGTGTTCTTTTCTTTGATCTATACATAAATTTTTTAATACAAAAACCATCGTCATTTCATCTTACTTTATCATCTATCGTTAAAGATTTCCAGGCTGTAATGTCCATTCCGAACCAGAAATCGTCGTCAGGTACATCATAACCAGTTGCTACAGCCGAATCACCACTTGCTATAGCCGAATCATCAGCAAGAATCTTAAACAAATCATCAAAAGGCATTTTAG